AAACAATACAGAATTTCAAAGTGATAGGAATTCAGCTCAGTGGCACAGCACCTGCCTGGCAAGCGCAAGGTCCTGAGTTCAATTTCCGGTAAAAAAAAAAAAAAAAAAAAGCCAATGAAGTTCAAAATGAAGAACATTACTTTCAAAAATTAACAACTGCTTTTCCAGCAAAGATGTGCTTTTAAAATTAAAATAACTAAAGAGACCAAAGGAATTCAAAATTCTTCCGTGAAAATAGTCACTTGACATTTCTTGAGTGCCAGCTGTGGCAGACAAGGAGGTAGCCGAGGATCTGAAAATAAAAACCCAGTTTCTGCCTGTGAGAGTTCAGAGCTGGGGTCTTCAGGATGGTGGTGGGGGGGGAGGCACAGGATAAACCATGGGGAGGAGACAATCTTCAGCCTTTGATTTCTGTTTTTCTCACACAACCTGGAAGTGAGCTTTACTGGTACTTATCATCCAGACAGACACTGGCATTCTTGACCGGTCACAGTGCAGAGGGCTCCTGGGGAGAGGCCACACCTGACACACCCGCGGGGGATCCCCGCACTTGGCCTCCCACTCTCAACAAACCAGGACGTGCCGTGGCACCACGTGCGAGCCCAGCGAGGTGCTTTACGGACCACATTCCGTCCACTACAGAGTCTTCACAATCCTTTTTGCAAGGCCACAGGAAGTGTTTGTGGAAATCTTACGTAACATGGAGGCTCGCTGACCACCTTATGGCAAAGTCCAACAAAGAATTTGATGTTTTTCTTTTTAGAAAATGTCATTTTTCTTTTATAAAATGTCAGAATTTCCAAATTTGTTGTTTTCTTAAAAACAGGGAGTGCTGGTCAGATTGGCCTTTGTTGTAATGGCCGCCCTCATACAGTCAGGGGTGCTTTAGGAAGATTCTTCTGGAAGCTGGATTGACACTGGGCTGAGGAAAGTCAGAGGGAGAGGAGAAAAGGTAACAGTTTGGCAGTGAGCTGCACGCACAGGTCTAGGACAAGGACTGGTCGGGGAGCATGGGTACGCATGTTAAAACCAGAGGCTTGTTCATGTTCCCCCAGGGGAACACAGGAATGGACAGGAAATGAGGCTCAAGGGCATCCTTGGGAAATACTGCTCTGAAATGATAAAAGACGAGCAAAGGATAGAGACAATGGTGTGATCCAGGAGTGAAAAAGCAGGAAAGGGTGAAATTTACCTGCAGTTAAAGGAAAGGGCTGTGGTTAACAGGTCTGCATGACACCTAGTGGCCAAGCAAGATAAAGAGCAAAAAATCCACTTCCAGCAAGGAGGAATTCATCAGCGACTACTGTAACCATCATGCCTGCTAGAATCTTTCTACGTGAGTTGAGTGTGTTGCCTGCATACGGAGATTTCATTCAAGCAGAATTCTTCATGAGCAGAATCCCTGTTTATTCGTGAATTTTTCTT